TTTCCCAATGTAGTTTGCGACAGGAATATGGGATGCCTTCGCCCCGCACCCCTCATTACAAGGATTAGGGTTGATGTTTGGGTAACGCCTAAAGTAAGGACACAGGAATTGGTACGTCCCTGGAATTCAGCGCGAGGGTTCTTGTGGTACGGGGGTACTTTTTCCCGTGTCCGACCTCAGTCTTAATTGATTTGAGACAGTGCACAGTCAGTCGTTGCATGTGTTCTCACTATGTTTTCTTCCTTCTGGCATTCATTCCAAAACAGTTGACTTCGCTCGCCAAAAACCAGTCAAAACGAAGTTGTGACTGTGTGCTTGCTAGGATGCAATCACTGTAAGCCTTAATGTCCATTGTATGGCAGACGACCGTCTTTATTAATAACTATCAGACTTTTCGCAAAACGTCCTGCTGCACGAAGAATAAGAAAGGGGCTCTTTAATCGAAGCCAGCGATCATATCTCTATTTATGACCACCATAATGCAGGAGGTCTTCAAGCCCCTTTTTTGTGCTGCAACGTATCAGTTTGCACGCGAAGCCCCAGAGCCATTCTTTTAATGCACAACACGCCCTCAAATGCACGTTGCAGGACCTCATATATTTAAAATAGTGGATTCCTGATAAATCTTGCAATTCCGAATCTTCATTGCACAAGCCGTTACTGTTCCTGGAAGTACAGTTAAGAGGAGTTAAGAGTTCATTAAGGAGACTGTTCGGAGTAACACAACTTGGACAACTTAAATCAAATACCTCACTCACGCCAATTAGGAATTCGAAATATTATGTGGATGCAAAGCTTATTCGATGAGAGATATATGTAGTGAGATATTTCACGGGCAGTAAAATTGCGCCTCTTAACATAAGAACATTAAAATTAGTATAACCATTTCCCAAGTCAAAGGGCAGGCAAATATCCAAAAGACCGAGGCGAAAAGACCTTTACTTCACCCAGTGAGATGAAAAACCCGTCATCATTTCTTCACACTCTTCATATCGAGACCTTTACATGATAAAAAACCAAGCGTAAAAGTGTGCTTGTCACGGCGCTAAATTCATTGAGGTTGTTATCCTGGGAGGTGACTCCAGCGTCTTCTGTATTCTTTGGCCATAATCGTCACAATACCCTTTTTATTCAGGATTTGTATCAAACCTTAATGAGTGAGACGACTTTCCGTCCAATATTTTTTAGAAACCAATATAAAAAGCCTTTTGTGCGATCCTACACATGAGTGGATGTTTACTAAATGATGTAACCGTATAGTTTATATGCGGATGAAGGAAAGCGTGGTACTGCACAAAAGCTACCGAAAATAAGATTGTCCAATGAGGCCGAGGGTGAAGTTAAAGGAAATCTTTGGTGGTCAGTTGCAAACGCAACTCATTGTTTCCAGTCACCCCGGCAGGTTTTATCGGTTTATGATCACATAGTCGGAGCTTAAATACGAACATAGCACTGACTTCGTCCATCGTTAAAGCTTTCCTAAATCGTGCTGAAATGCACAAAATAAACTAGTATTCTTTCCGCAATACTTGTCAACTATGACCTACTAACTGCCAATATGTTTTATTAATAAATTCAAGTTTGTTGGTAAGCTGGTTGCATGACTTAATTGTCTGGTTTCTTCCCATAGACACATGAACTTTGTGCTTAAGTTTAAAAAACCCCCATCAACAAATCAGCTTTGAAAGGAAAAAACAACAGGACATTGTAACTGATGTACACTAGGCTCCTTATACGGACCTTAGATATGGATATATGTAGAGACAGCGCTGTTTCCAGTTTTTTTTTCGAACATTCAGTTAATCAAAACTTTAAGCGCCAACTAGGACAAGAACCACAAACATAAGTGTCACACTGCAGAAGATTCTTTACATTGATGGGCATCCGCCGCTGGTTTATGTTGGGCATCCGCCGCTGCTTTATGTTGGGCACATATCGACATAAAAGACTTGCCGATTGTTGTATTCGGTTCGATGAAATACTCAAGACCTGTCCGATAGAATCCGCATACTATTAGGTCTGCGCTGTGTGGATGCGCATGTTGGCATTTAAAGCCTTAGGGAAGCTCAGGACTGCGGAACCATTGTTCAGTTTACATGCATCCCTTGATGAATTCAGCCTGACAGATGGCTGCATACGTTCGATTCTGTCCGCTAACGGGACCAAATGGTGACTCCTTTGACTGCAAAATTGTCAAAAAATAGTCACAAAATAACTTTACACCTTAAGCGCACATATACATACATTCTGCGCAGTTCCTTCGGATAGAATAGGATTATTTACTTGGTTATTGCTGGCTATTTGATTTTTCGCCCTCCTTAAGTTGCTTGTTCTGCATGCAATCAGGAAGTATATATCTTTACCTTAAAATATCCACTGTCCATGCTTTTTAGTGGTCGCTCGTGGTCATTTCTTTTATCATCGGCGGCGCGCCGCAGACTGAGAAGCCATCCCTTAGTTCCAGTCTTCGTGGAGGTTGAGCTCCTTGAACAAACAAGAAGAGTAGAAATATCAACCCACATTAATTGGAAAATAGTTTGAATACCCCCCCCCCCACCCAATGAATTGTCAAAAGCGATTCTTATTTGTTGTAGGGTGTTTGTTGGTGTTATTCCATAAAACGACAACCTCAACTTTTACGAAGTCCTATACGCACTGAGAGACAGTCCTTTTGGGGTTCGGTCCACGAAGGCCATCACCTGCTTTTCGCCACTTGATGTTCATAGGTGCTGTAATTTATTCTCAAAAATAAGGCAAAATACTGTGTGAAGAAACCATTCCTTTTCCTCCACAAAGGAAGGTCAGTGAGGAAACATAACTGAATATGCATTTGTAATATTTTTGATCACAAGCTTGTTTCTTAATCGAATTTCTTTTTTGTCTCAAGTTGCTTAACCAAACAATACACTAGCAACTGCCCAAAGAGTCCTATTACACTGAGTTTTACCTATGAAGCGAAGTAGCAGTTGGTTATTTTCACGATTTATTTGCTCCAGATACACTTATGTGCATATGTAATTACAGGTAGCTCATCGTGAACAACAATAGCCTTTGGAACAGTATATGAATCCATTTATGACTTGTGGAGTGCATATAAAACACATAATGACTGTGGGAGTGTGTTAAGTAGTGCCACATGCTTTTATAAAAGTTAATGAGGGTTTACCATCGAGATTGGACGGATCTCTGGTTATCAAGGCTTCGGTGGAACCTCTGTCAACTTATCTATTTGTTTGTTCGTTGACCTTAAACGGCCAACTCCTACCGACAGTGTCCACAAATCTAATTTCTCGGAATATTCGATTGTAAAATCTACGACCATTACCTGACTGACCAGAGCACTTCAACTAGTGTGCTCACAATACTTCACCCCCTCAAATGCGCGTTTGTCCTCCAGGGCACAGATCAAAGTTAACGGAATTTAACCCTGTTGAGTATGCATTGTTGTGGGCCTACGGCACAAAAATGCAACGTTGTCCATACAGGGAAATTCACATTAAAACGCGCGAGTCATCCAGTTGGCCATGTGCGCCTCAGGAAAGCGAAAGGTATAAACTCATAGCTACTTCGATCGCCTTTGTCAGATTTGTAATCAGTGTTCCTAACAGCGAGACTTCCTTGAAAGCCTCCTTAAATTATCCATATGCTCCATTCAGTAACTAAATCTTTATAGTTCATGCGACTTCTAAACAACTGATGCCTGCTACCAGCCCCATTTCTGTAAGTCAGTAAATACACCGGTGCACCTCTTTTTACTAAAAGACTTCTAAAACTCTCCCTAGTGTGCGCCTTTCTAATTTTAAAAAGAAACAATGGCTTATTTACGTTCATTCTAATCTGCTCCTTATGGTACCAGTGAGTGAATTTGCTGCATTCAGTAAATACACCATCGCCATCGTGAGAACATACAAACATATCACCGACAGTTCGACCGTCGATTTCGACGATGTCCATCGTGTGCCTCACAGCTGCAGCAGCGGTGGGAGCAGGGACGGTGACTTACGCAGGGGTTTATAGTGCCAGTAGACTTGCGTAGCATCTACCTACACTCTCTCCTCCTCCCCCGCCTGGGCCCGGTGTCAAGACAGAGTCAAGAAGACCGGAGACGAGGGAGGCCGCAGGTGGATGGCTCGGACGGATCCTCACCTTGGCGTTCCACCACACCCCCTGGTCCACACAACAATAACCAGGATTTCAACCAACACAACAGACATTTGGAGGCTGGCACGGCCGAAGCCGCACCTAGGCGTGCCGCCAACGCCTGGCTCGGATCCCACGCTGTGGTGGAAATGCCATAAAGGCCACATTAAAAAGGAGCCATTGCAGCCTGACTCTCAGACCGCCTCCGGTCAAGGAGGAGGTCCAAGGTACCCCGTCAGTTGGCAACCTTCCAAGCCACGGCTTTTAGCGCACCGTGATAGCTTCAAGCGCGTCAGATTGATTATAGTGAGGAAAATGCGCTGAGTCGTCGACCTCACTCTCCCTTCCCATTCCCGCACTCCAGCCGCTGTCGAGCCGGTCGGCAGACTGGAGTGGGGAATGGGCGCGGTGGCTGACATGGTCGACTGACCATGCCTGCGCGCGCCACAGCACGACCTGGCCCCCCATAAACACACAAACACCAGGATTTCACACAACGGGGGTTGAACGGCATGTCTCCCACTTGCGTGAGAGGGCCGTGGAAGGTGCTGCTTCAGCCCATCCCCAGCCCACCAGTCCGCCACTACACACAACACACACACAACGTGACGAACTGCGTGAACCGAGAGCGGGCCTCAATTAGCAACCTTCCTATCCACGACACTTGACGTGTCGGGATAGTCTCGGACACAAGTCACCCGTGCAGCCGAAGCCGCATGGGGACCGAGTCGAGATGCACACTTCCCACTTGCGTGGGAGGCGGCAGTTGAGTGCATGAGGTGTGTGGGAGTTGATGTCTGGTGGGGTGATGGTGTTAGGAGGTGGGGAGTGGGGGAATGTGTGGTGTGACCGGCGGTTGTCTACCGCAGGTCGTTGTGGATGCGCATGTGGCCGAATAGACCCATGCGATGCGTGAAGGTGCGAGGGCAGTGTGGGCAGTGGAGGCGAGTGCGGTGGGTGTAGGTTGGTGCTCCAGGCACTGGTTCGCCAGTCTCTGTGCGATGGATTCGCAAGTGACCGACCAGGCCGATGCGAGAGGTGAAGGTGCGGTCGCAGTGAGGGCAGGTGTAGTCCTGATCCTCATCACTGGAATTGGGAGGGGTGGGGGTGGTTGTGGTTGTTGTGTCGTGGTTGGCGATGTGTGAGACGGCAGCCTGAACGGCCTCCGCTGGGGCAGTGGAGGAGAAGGAGGAGGATGGAAGTGGTGGTGCAGAAGGAGTGTCAGAGGTAGTTGGCGGCAGAGAGGGCGAGGAAGAGGCGGGCTGGAGGACGATGGCTGGAGCAGTTCGAGAGGTGCAGTTGGTTCGAAGATGTCCAACAAGTCCGATTCGTGCCCGGAATGTCCGTTGACATCGAGGACACGTAGGGAGCGGTTGTGCGGCGGCGTTGCGTATTGGGCGAAGTTGTGATTTGCGGGCTTCGCGTTTCGCTTTGGCGGCGGCGATGCGGTTGGCTTCATAGATAGCAGCGCCCGTCTTCACTGTTCTCCTCCATGTCGGACGATCGCGGGCGAGCTCTTCCCAGTTGGTCGGGTTTATTTGCAGGCGCTTCAGGGAGGACTTCAGAGTATCCTTGTAACGGCGAATTTGGCCTCCTTGACGACGAGAACCCGTCGCGACGTCTCCGTAGAAGAGTCGTTTGGGTAGTCGCTCGTCGTCCATGCGCACCAGGTGGCCGCTCCAGCGCAGCTGTATTTGTCTCAAAATGGAGGAAATGCTCAGAATTCCCGTCCGTTCCAGCACTTCGGTGTCGGGGATGCGGTCCTGCCAGTTCAGCCTCAGGATGCGGCGGAGACAGCTGAGGTGAAAGTGGTTTAGTCGACGTGCCTGTCTCGTGTACACCGTCCAGGTCTCCGCTCCGTACAGTAGCGTCGGCAGGATGACGGCCTTGTACATCTTCAGCTTTGTGCTCAGTTGGAGACCATGACGATTCCAAACTGTGCTTTGGAGACGTCCGAAGGCTTGACTGGCTTTCGAGATCCTGTTGGCGACTTCGTCGTCGATCTTGGTGTTGCGGGAGAGCGTGCTGCCCAGGTACGGGAAGTTCTCTACCACTTGCAGTTGAGTCCCATTCACGTTGATTTGCGGCGCGTTGGGGGCTGTGGCTGAGTTTGGAGGCGGCTGATGCATCACCACCGTCTTCTGCGTGTTCATAACCAGCCCAAAGTTCTCGCAGGCGGCGGAGAATAGGTCCACGCTCCGTTGCATCTCCTCTTCCGAGGTGGTGTTTAGGGCGCAGTCGTCGGCGAAGAGGAGTTCGTGCACGGTGGCTGTGGATACACGCGATTGGAAGTTCATGCGCCGGTGATTCAGGAGATGACCGTCCGTTCTATAGGCGATGCGGATTCCAGGGCGTTCGTCGCGGTAGGCGTCCATCAGCATGGCAGAGAACATGAGACTGAAGAGGGTAGGCGTCAGCACGCAGCCCTGTTTCACTCCGTTGGTCACTGCGAATGCCTCTGAGACAGCTCCGTTGTCCGTGACTCGCGCCATCATACCGTCGTGCAGCTGACGCACCATCTGAGTGAATCGCTCCGGACAGCCGAATTTCTGCATGGTCTTCCACAGTCATTCACGATTCACCGTGTCGAAGGCTTTCGTCAGGTCCACGAAGGTAGAGTACAGGTGTGTCCGAATCTCCTGGCACTTCTCCTGAAGTTGGTGGGCGGCGAAGATCCTATCCGTGGTCCCACAATGACGACGGAAGCCGCATTGGCTTTCCGGCAGAAGGCCCTGTTCCAGATGGTTGTTGAGGCGGTTGAGCAGGATGCGAGCGAAGATCTTCCCGACGATGTTCAGTAGGGAGATGCCGCGGTGGTTGTCGCAGACTTGGCGATTCCCTTTTCGCTTGTATAGGTGCACGATAGTTGCGTCCTTGAAATCTTGCGGGACTTCACCTTGACGCCACGTCTCCTGGAAGAGCGCAGTCAGGTGATCCATCAGTAGGGGAACTCCGTGCTTGTAGACCTCAGCAGGGATTGCGTCCGATCCGGGTGCTTTCCCGCTAGAGAGCTGCTGCACGGCCCTGATGGTTTCCTGGAGAGATGGCGGGAGGTCGAGGTCCGCGTTGGTCTCCACTTGCGGCAAGCGGTCGATGGCGGCGTCGGAGATGACGGAAGGGCGGTTGAGGACGCCTCGAAAATGCTCGGCCCATCGCTGCAGGATTTGCGTTTTCTCAGTCAAAAGAGTACTGCCGTCGGCGCTGAGGAGAGGAGCAGTGCCCTTCGTCGGCGGACCGTAGACAGCTTTGATCGCAGAGAAGAAGTTCTTTCATTCGTTGCGGTCTGCGTACCCTTGGATCTCCTCAGCTTTGCGAGCAGTCCAGGCGTCCTGCATCTGGCGCAGTCATTGCTGGATCTGGCGGCGACTGCGGTAGAAGGCAGCGTTGGTGGCATCAGTGGGGTGATCTACGTAGGCTTTGTGTAGGCGGTTCTTCTCAGCAAGCAGATTTCTGATGGCGGTGTCGTTGTCGTCGAACCAGTCCTGGTGTTGGCTGGGAGCGCGACCGAGGACGGCGAGCGCCGTCGACTGGACCGTGTCTCGCAGTTGACACCAACGGTTCTCCACGGAGGCGTTCTCGGCAGCGGCGGCGGCGGCAGCGATAGGAAGGTTGTCTAGCCGTTGAGCTAGCTCATTGCTGAAATGGAGACGGTGAGCAGGCAAAGACAACAAAGCAACATTCAGCTTACCTGGGGGTCGCTTACCTTGTGGTCTCCTGTGAGGCTGTAGGCGAAGACGCATCTTCGAGATGACGAGGCGATGGTCGGTCCACCCGTCAGCATATACTCGTCATTTCACGAACACAGGCATTTTTTGAAAAGGGAGAGTACAGTTTTCTGGGTAAACAAGCACGATACAGTTAAAAGAGAAGAAAGATGTGGAGGGCCCGAAGGTTCAGTATATTTGATGAAACGTCGTAACAAAATTCAGCTTCTTTTTTGTTTTGGGATATTGCTTTTCATCAGCTGTCCGTTCGGAGTTTTAGGTTGTATTTGTGATGTCTATTGCTGTTCGCTAATTTGTTTTCTGGGTTCTGTACCCACTACCTCTTTCAGCTGTTTTCGTTGTAGTTAGGGGAGACATCGCGTTTTGCTCCGTTCGCTGATATGCCACTAACACCGCAATTTCTTAAACGCACCTAAACAGTCCGGCATGTTACACGGGTGTAGTTTTATTGCCAAATCTTTGTTGAAAAGCACCATACTCCTTAGGAGTTAGAAAAACCCGACTCCAGTTTGCGGCTCGAGAATTAAACTGGCCTTTACCTCACTGAACATCGCCGACCCTGCGCAAGCTTGTTTGTCCGGGCTACCGTGCGCGAAATTCCGGCGACTGAAGTTCGTTCGGAGTTTTTTTTCATCCGGGCGTTCTATCGACCGCGCTTTCTGCATTATGCCGGAGACTGAGGGTAAGTAGTAGGTCTGGTTGTGTTGCTCATGTTATAGCCATTCCGTTATTGCTGGGGACTCAAGTTCAGTCTGTTTACTAGCTTTTTTGCACTTTGCTGCTCGAGTCAGCATTTAAGGCATTCGTACATGTCGTCGTCCTTTGTCTATGCTCTGTCATGTAGACTCCATCTCTTGAATTTATTTTCCCATTGAGCGGAGTGCATCTTTTTAGATTTTGTATCCTCCCGTGCGGAGGCTTTCTCGTCTGACCAAGTTGAACCGCGACTACTTTATTCCTCTTATCATCGGAGACCGGGCTCATACCTAATAAGGCCTTTTTACGCAGACTATCCGACCAGTGAAGTAGTCGTGTCCGCCTGGGCCTCTGGGCCGCATAGGTGCGCATCGTTAGAGTCAAAAACGTAATTAAAATAAATTGTGGAGCCCTTTGCGGTTTCTCATCGCCCGTCTACCGCCACTTTCTCGATGGACCACGCCATCTGGCGGCGCGCATGCAGCGTGCAATTTGCAGAGGGAGACTGATGTGTTGGTTCGCTGCGTCGCTATCCGAAATCCGGGCCTTCAGCACTTCGACCTGCGTCACCACTCAAATTTGAATTAGTAGTTTCCTTCCAGGGTGTGTCCAGCGACTTAGGGCAATGAGTCGCCCCTCCTAGCCGCTTGTTTGTGGTCACGTATTTGTCCGCTGCGCTGACGTCCAAGATCAACATACCAAACGTGTCCGTTTGCCATCTTAGTGACTTGGAGTGCCGCCTCTCCAGCATCCCGGTCGCTGTAATAGTTCGAAATCGGACTTCCTTCGAAGGGGTTCGAAAATTCGAATGACTTTTCGGTCCCTCGTCGCCCTCCGTGGGCAAATCGTTTAGCTTAAATAAATTACGGTGTCGTTCGGTGTGGTCTCACGCTAGAACCTATTAAGGCGGATTTTGGCGCGGACGAATTGAGGAAAAGTGCACTAGACCCGAGGACTTCTGAAAACCGAGCATCTGATGATGCTATTTGCAAACTGACAGTCTTCTCCATCTTCACTGGCAAAACATACGAGCCAGCCTACATGCACGGTTCGATCTACAAGAGCCGGAAAGAGTCATCTGCGGTAAGTACACGCCCGAACTAGGACACCATTGCGTAAATGGCGCGTTCATTTAAACGGTGAAGAGTAGCTTTCCCGGCTCCTACAAACTATTACGTCACCTTTTCATCCATTTCCCAAAGGAGGGAAGGGTATGCGGCAAAAACATGTAGCAACAAACTCCTTATCACAGTTCACCGAAATCGACATAACCCTAATTCCTAGCCGCCACCACGGCCACCTAGTGACGCACAAAGGTTGTTTTAAAACTCACAAAAGGCAAAAACGCACTACAGTGACCCATTGGAACCAGTATAAGAACTCTGGCACTTGCAATGGATGACAATCCATTGAACAGCAGCTGTCCGTACGCGCCTACGGACGATGGGAGGGTTTCGCGGACGTTTTGGCGTTCCAGACCATGTGTGTGCAATGTACCGGAAGCGTCGGAACGCTTTGCCGCATTATTTGGCGTGGTTGCCTGTTGTAATCAGAACGGCCACAAGCACGCATGTAAGATAGTACGAACGAAATGGGGTGGGAGAATCAAAATGGAAGTGCCCTAGAACTGGGTTTTATTCACCTTACAATTGACGCATCGAAACTTGAGTGGTACAGAGAACTGCAGTTACTGACGGTATCGCCTATCGTCCGACACCTACCGCGCCTAACCGGGTGGCGCAGATAGACAATCAACTGGATGCTAGTTTTATGCTACATCTGTCCTACAGCGTGACAGCCTAGCTCAGGAATAAGCGGAGAATACAGCGGTTGGTCCCGATAATTGCACAATTGCAGCGCGAGCCTGACACCCGCATATCTGCCTTTTATACTTGAAAACCTTATTGCTTGTCACATTCAACTACCATTCGCCGCTAAATTGCATCTGTTTGTCACCCTCCCGAAATCCCCGGGGGCAGGCATTAAGTCTGACCACTGTGGTGTCATTTTTTTTCCTGCGACATTGTAAACGAAATTTTTTTTCTTTTGTACAGCCTCACTTGACATAAGGTAGTAACCTATTTCATGTGTTTGTCTGCCTAGCCGTGTTTTCTCGAATCTGCATTGAATGCCGTAATAATTGGTCTGGTCAACTCGACTGCCCGCTGCTCCGTCACGCTTTGTGGCCAGATTCCAGGCCTTTACCATCTGTTGCGCAGTTGACTTTCCATTTTCTAAAGTTAACTGGATCCTGAATTTTTCCGATCAGAATCACAAAGATCAGCTTGAAAATTCAAGCTCCTGTCTCACCAATAATTGGACGGAATAGCGGCAGTTAGTCGAGTTTGTATAGTTCGGGCAGAATGGAAATGTACGGTCGACAACAGATAGTCGGATCCCTACATTTCGGTATGCTAGGGACTGTAGAAAGCGAAGACGTACATACATTAAATTGTTAAAAGGATTGGCGAAGGTACACGACTTTTTCGAACGCCGGACTTTTGGGTGAAGTGCCGTCATGTTTCCGTGTAGTGATGACATATACTAGGTTCAAGAGCCCTGGGATCGGCCGTCAACCTTTGGGGCCCCTCCTACGACATCAGTAAACGAGTAAAACGCGCACGTTAGGCCAATGGGACCGCCAATACTCTTTTACAGAAAACAATATCATGCCAGCAAGTGTTCCAGGCGGTGACGCCCCTGTCAGAGCCAAACTCCCGTATTTACCTAAGCCATGGTAATTTTAGAAATGGCTGTGACGTTGCAGTAACGATCAAACAGCTCTCTATTTAGAACGGAATGTGAACCCTCATAGGCATGGATTAAGTCTTCATATCCACACATTACTCAGTTTTGAAAGAACTTCAAGCATAAAGAGATAATACCCATTATGGCAGGTGGGCGCTCACCGATCAAGTTACGGAACGTGCTCGTTCTGTTGGGATTGGGTATGACTGGCTGATGACGGCCAATAAGCCAGAAATAGTCATTCCGGTCTCCGTTTTCTTTGTCGGTATCACCTTATCTACAGTATTCATGCTTATACTTGGCACAGCTGTGGTCATGCCTGATCTAGCCCACGTCGATGTTGCGAATTGTGCCCCCACGCATGGTAATCCGCGGTAGCAGATGTGAAGAGCTCAACCCATTTCCCCCTCCAGCAACGGAGACGAAATACCGAAGGTGCAATAACCGCCGTTTCTCGACGGGCCGCCTGTCGCCAGGTTATAAGTCCCCATCGACGTCTCCATGTGAACTGCTGGAACGGCGAGTGTGTGAAAACCAGCTCAGTCGTCTTTCATGGGTGACGTGAGATATCTTCTCGATGTGGCCTCAGCGATTGCGGAATGTCTCAGTCGAAACCAAATCGGTGGACTCCACACGAAAGACGGTTTTCAGGGAACTGTAGTCAAACATCTCCAGCTTTCATACATGTTTTATGTACACAGCCAATCATGCGAAACCGCATATGACTGGCCGGATGGATGTCTGATACACATGGTCCTTGCGATAAGGGAGATAGCCCATCGGGCCCACAGACACTTCTAAAGATTTTGGAAACTGCGAGCAGCATCGATTCGAGGGACGACGGCATCCTTTGTCTGCCCGTTTGACAACAGCTTGATGACTATTCCAGACCCCTAACTGAAGGACGAGATAGAAATCTCGAGCTTGAGCAATTACTTATTTGTTGCAGTCGGTTGTCTGACACACTTGTGTTGTTTCGCCAGCTTCATTTACCTTTGCGATCGGCCGGTTTATTCAACTCATGTTGGTTTCCCACGTAAGCGTCATAGCAGACTGTTGTCCGTGCACTGTATGCCTCAACTGTTCTGATTTTGCGGTGGTATTGCGAATGCACCTAATGGTTGGCGGTGTTGCGTTCCACAAACGCATGTTGATCGCCGAAGTTGGCCTAAAAGTCAGTGTCAAAAAGATCTCAATCCGAGATTCGGTTTTAGCGACGTCAGAATATTGGGCTGGTAAAACTTTTGCTCTAGTGGACCGAACTTCCTGTCCGCCAAATTGGAATGTGATTCCTTGCTTTCTAACACCATCATGGGCTTTTTCTGTAGGTTATGAAGATGGCGTTGAGGAACGCGTCATCAATGAGGAGTACAAAATATGGAAAAAGAACACTCCCTTCCTGTACGACCTTGTCATGACGCACGCATTGGAGTGGCCAAGCCTTACTGCCCAGTGGCTCCCTGACGTTACACGGTAAGTTCTCTCGGATTTTACGCCAATTTTCGCATTATTTCAAATGTCCTCCCATTAAGCAGTCCAGACTGGAGGTGTTTCCAGCATTTGTAAAGCATTTTTTCGATACCTTTGCTTCTACTCCCTACAGGCCGGAGGGCAAGGACTATTCGGTGCACCGTCTCATCTTGGGCACGCATACTTCTGATGAACAGAACCACCTTCTTATTGCCAGTGTCCATCTTCCAAACGATAACACCCAATTCGACCCCAACAATTACGACGCTGATCGAGGAGGTCTGTCTACCCTCTCAATTTTCACATATGTGCTCTCTGGGACTTACCTCCCATGCATTTCTTTACCGAGTCTTTACTCCACGGCACTTCATCGCTCATCCTCGCATCTTTGTGTTTACAGAATTTGGTGGTTTCGGCGCCGTCACCGGGAAGATCGAGATTAACATCAAGATAAACCACGAGGGTGAGGTCAACCGAGCTCGCTATATGCCCCAAAACCCCTGCATCATTGCCACCAAGACACCCAGCGCGGACGTCCTGGTCTTTGACTATACCAAGCACCCTAGCAAACCCGATCCGTCTGGCGTGTGCCAGCCGGAGTTGAGGCTCCGCGGTCATCAGAAGGAGGGCTATGGCCTGACATGGAATCCGAATTTGAACGGCTACCTTCTTTCCGCGTCGGATGATCATGTAAGCATAACTTGACTCATTTGATATATGCCTCCAGTACTCCTCATATACCATGTATACGACCATCTCTTACGGTAGCTGGTGCTGCTTAGCCGATTCAACTGCCAATCGCGTGTGTTGTAAGTTATCCGGGTGGCTCTCAGTTTCTTCACAGGTCGAGACCCGCAATCCTAGCCACATTGTCTCAAATTTGCACAGGGTGCGAGACTAAGGGGGTAGTCTGGTGATTGCGCAAGTGGTACGGTTGAAGGCCCGCAAACCACGTGTCACAGTTCCATCAACTCATCTACCCAAACAAGATGTTTTGCCCCATTTAATTTTGGTAGCCGACTGTTAGAAGTTGCCCGATACCAAAGCAAGTGGAAACTAGGTCTCTCCTCTTATTTGTCCCAAAGACTCCCTGTTAGGTCATAGTCAATCAAAATTGCCGGTGTCAAGCGCTTTTTGTTTGATTAGCGTGAAGACAGTCTGTTCCGATCGGAAGGATCTCTCTGTATTAACTGATCCAGCATCTCGATTGGTCAAAGCAAACATAGCATACTTGGAGATTGTCTGCAGCAACACCGACTACTTCGATCTGGTCTATTCATCGCAGGGATTTCCGCTTTCTTTAAGCATTAATTTTTTACTTAGGTTTCAAATTAACTGTCCTCCCTTCCCTCGTCGCCCTGTCTTTGACGGGTTAAGAACCATGTTGACTAGGTTAACCATCTTCCCAGCTTCGTCTTAAATCATCAAATCATGCCATTCCGAATCAGCCTCCTATCTTTTAAATACCTTGCTCTGGTCTGAGTCTCTGGCAGTCGACATTATCTTACTTCCTCCCGTATAACGGCTACCCATGCTGCATCCCCATTTGTTGGAGATGACTCAGATACTTTCTTTTCTCATAATGTACAGACTATCTGCATGTGGGACATCAACGCCACCCCCAAGGAGGGCCGCATTATTGACGTGCACACAATATTTACGGGTCACACGAGTGTGGTGGAGGACGTGGCTTGGCATCCTCAGCATGAATCAGTCTTCGGTTCTGTTGCGGACGACAAGAAACTCATGATATGGGACACTCGCAGCCAGTGCACTTCGAAGCCCAGTAACTCTGTGGAGGCGCATCTGGCTGAGGTCAACTGTCTCTCCTTCAATCCCTTTAGCGAGTATATCCTCGCCACTGGCAGTGCCGATCGCACTGTCGCACTGTGGGACCTGCGCAGCCTCCAGATGAAATTGCACTCCTTTGAATCGCACAAAGACGAAATTTTCCAGGTGAGTTTGACTTGCAGTTTACAGAATGCGCTTGCAACCGTTTTTTTATGGAACCTATAATTAGCGAGATTTAGCCATAGACACCACAGCTCATTGAGTGCAGATACCTCTCTTCCTGGAAATAGTTGGTTTTCTTCTAACTGTATTTTGACTCTCAAAACCGATCACCGTTGTACAGCGGCTTCTCTTATTTAATTCACTTTCTATCGCTCTCTGTCTTAGGTTCAATGGTCGCCTCACCACGAGACCATCCTGGCATCCTCGGGCACCGACAGACGGTTACATGTCTGGGATCTAAGCAAGATTGGTGAAGAGCAGTCACCGGAGGATGCCGAAGATGGACCGCCTGAACTTCTCTTTATCCATGGCGGCCACACTGCGAAAATTTCCGACTTCTCCTGGAACCCGAATGATGCCTGGATAATCTGTTCCGTTTCAGAGGACAACATTCTCCAAGTGTGGCAGATGGTAGGACCACTGTCGGTCTCGCCGCATCAATTTTTTGAAATTTGCGTCTTTTGCTCCTTCATTGCGAATCGTGGCTACCGATGTTTAACGCTGCCCCTGCGAAGTGTACGCAGTCGTGACTTGCGCATGGCCTTGTTTGTAATGAGGCAGACATAGCCCGCTCCTCAGACCCAGCTAGTGGTTCTAACCCCCGATTACTGTACCTGAGGTGGTCTTTCGTGAAGACCTAAGACCTTAAAGCTAGCCAGGACGTGTGAGGAGTAGACTCGGATATACAGGCGATGGCAGAAGCGGAACGAGAGCAAGATAGAATCTGTTCAGAGGCACTGTCAGCCAATGCATCCTGTTAGAGTCACTGACGCAACTGCATCCTCGGAATTACTCTGCTGCTCGTTCTCTTCTACAGAAGTGGGGCATTGCAAGCATGATAGTCGATTTTGTTTGGTCCGCATACCGATGACTCTCTTAGCTCAGTCTGAGAGGGAGTCGCCCTGTTCTACCTTTATCTTTAATGACGGCCAGTCTGTAGTGTCTTGCTTCACTAGCTAGATAGGGAGCTACAGTTGTAGCCAAACTCCGGACTTGGTCACCTTTATCACCTTTTTACGAAGAAAGCAATGCCTGCGTGAACTTTTGGTTTTGAAGAAGCATTGCCGATAGGGACATGAAAGGTTGTCTTGTTTACCCTCCTTGTTCCCTCCTGCCATATTTGCGGTCCGCAAGTGGCATTCTGACTTCTGGAACCAAAGGCCAAGCATGCATCGTTCTGTTTTGTAATTTTCACGTGGGTTGAATTTTTGACGGGAAAATATTCCTGTTGCCTTGTTTGCTTTCCGATGAAATTAATGTTCGAACACAGGTACGAGCCTGTGTTGCCAGTACGGTAAATAATTACACAGTTCCATACTACTGACTGTCTGTTGGCGGTTTGCAAATATTACGCAGCTCAAATATTCATATCCAATTTCGAACCGAGCCTGAAGAGGTCTGTTTCGAAGAATTTACTCCAAGTTCGCGCGTTAATTTCCTCGGGAATTAAACAAGGCTAGATTAAACTGGAGTTCATATACCAGAAAGCACAGGGAAGGCTGGAGGACGCACTGATGAGCCGAACTCCTCGCAGTTGCGTCGGGCAGCGGCACAGGATCGGCGATAGGCGCGTGTCTAGGCTTTTAGCTTGCACCTGTGTTGTCAGTACGGTAAATAATTACGCAAATATCCTATTATTGGGCACACCGTTCACACGCATGTCATCGCCATAGTGGTCCTTCTTACTTGTGGTAGTGGAACTTTTAGTTAGTCCCCAGCCTTGGCCTCACCCTCCGCGCAGGCTATCCTTATCGAACAAGTTTCATCCGTTTGTGCAAACTCGATCTTTCTCTCTTCAGGCCGAGAATATTTACAATGAAGAGGAACCCGTGCTGCCAGTTGACGCTGAGTAAATTTGCTTGCTCATCATCTGTTGGCTCAATCGCGCACCAGGAAATTGCATTTCTAAATTTTCTATATACACATATGATATCCGTCCAGAGGCGGACTATTTGTTTGTCTGTGTACTTTGTTCGTTTTCGCCTGACACTACCCCGATGAATGAATAAATCATTTTTGTACTCTTGCCGTCTTTTATATCACTAGAGGCCTCTGCTACTTATGAATGGGTATTCCAGGGAGGAGAGGTGAACCTACAATTGCTGCGTCGTCTGTGGTTGAGACCATAGTTTCATCTTAAAGCTGAACAGGCGACAGTCAGTGCAGCATTCAGTTCGAGTGGTCTTTGTCATCAGCACGTTCTGGACATGTTTCCTAATGTTGATGTAGACTTACTGTTGCCAATAACGCTGGCGTGGGCACATCAGTTTTATCTTTTTGTGGTGATGGAGTCAAAGGGCGTTGTCAGCTTTCTGCGCAGGAAGAAGTTTACCGCCATTGCAGTTGGCGACTCCTCGATCAAGGGTAATTTCTCCAAACGGTACCTAGTCGCGTGCGCGCGGGTGATGGACGATCGACTGAGGTTTGTCAGTCATTACAGAAGACTGAGAATCCAGAACCTAGTTCTAGACCCGATTGACAATTCGATTCCTTACGCTCATTCATAGCGTATAGGACGACCACTCTTCAAGTTTTAAACGAGTTTCATGTTATACCTCAAGAACTGCGTCGCCAAGAGTGAGCTCCGTAACACGATCGATTAGTATCTCCTGCCATTTTGTATTCCCGATCGCAACCGACGGGACGACGGGCCCGTGGCTAGAGACGTTGGAGCTCTAACCAACAGTTCGTGGAATCGGGCACCAGGTGTTCCTGTACCTCGGGGTTGGGTATGACCGGTTGACGACAATAAGCCGAAAATGGCCATTCCGGTCCCCTTGTCTCTGTCGGCAATGTTACTCTAGGAGAAATTATATCGAGCTAGAGGCGTGCTTCCTAAATCTCCCTTCGCACTGCTCAGGTGCACTTCGTCGCTGTGAGGGCTATAGAACAAGCTCCAAAGCGAAGGAGGATAGTCACGTCCCGCAACCTGATCGGTTAGCACTCCATCCTACGACTGAATGTTTCCGATCACAAACGGTGGGACGACTAGCGCGTGACTCGGTGGTTGAGCGTTGGACGCTATGACACGCAGCGACCAAAGAACCCAGTTTCAGAAGAGCAGTTGGCGAGCAATTGTGTGTTCTCGATCAATTCTCTCTGGGCCAGTGCTTTTATCCAGAAAAGGCGCATAAGCAAAACACGTGAGTGATAAGAGAGATCGAATTCGGTGTATTTTCACACAAGTGAGGTGTGTGAGTAGAAGGCAGGAGGTAATGAGAGACAGTGACTTAGAAGGCTGTGAGGGTTAAGGGCTTGGGGAGGAGGGCGCGGAGGAGTGCATTCAGTTAGCCTGCCTTTGGCCATGGTAGGCATGGAATTTCTACCGTGTTCTTCTGTGTGTACAAGACTGGCTTTCAGAATCTGACAGCGGTCGCCTCTGCTGCTGCTGCTAGCAGACGCCGACTCAGTGGCTTAAGGCAGTTCGGTGGGACCTTGTAGGTCACGCGGACGGCTCCGCTCGAACGACTAATATAGCCTGCTCCATGGGAGCAAGTGAAAGAGTTATTACACACGAAGGTGGTCTGAGATGGCAACCTTTCCCTGCCATTCCCCTGTGGTCCCAGTTCGATGGTTCTTGTATACCGCATGCTACACAGCAGGTTGGGAGCAGGGGCGGTGACTAGCGCGTGGATTCATGTCAATGGTGGACTTGCGCAGCATCTGCCGCACTCCCCCGCCTCGATCCAGTTTCAAGACGGTCAAGAAGACCAGAGGGGGGCGCAGGTAGCTGGCACGGGGAAACCCGCACCTAGGCGTACCATCACATCCTGCGGTACACAATGTATTCGCCAAGAAATAAGGGCTGGGGGCGGCTCTGGCCCCATTTGAAGCTGGTTGAGACTAGCGGCTCAACTTCCGGTGCCTCTCGTAAGTGGATACATGCATGCAACGGTAGCAGGCTGGTTTTCGTTTGTTCAGAGCTTTCTAACTGGTCAATCATCAAGGCCGAATCAGACGTGCTCTCTCTCAAAGCGCTATTACGCATACTCGGCTCTCGCTCGGGACGCCGCTTCCCGGCGCCGGACGTACCCTCGTCTGTCTGCTTGCTCTCTCCGATTCCTTCCTTAGTTCTTCTGTACGGCATGCACTATTCTCTCTCCCCCTCCCTCTCTCTCTCCATTCGGGATCGAGCCTGAAGGTCATAGTGGTTAGGATTGACTATGACTTAAGCAGTTGCTGCGCCCGGGTCCCCGGCCGCGCTTCAAATGTCGGCATTTGTTAGAGCTGCGCATTCCAAATAACGCCTGCCAGACCCCATATTGGCCTCTGAGTTGGTCCAGCGCATTTTCTGCGTGGCCGGTTCTAGGGACACTGGGTTGTATTCAGACCATCTAGATCGCAGTGGTCTCATGCTGGTGCCATAGCACCGGGTCACGCTGGAGGTGCGCTGGATCAAAACAGGGGCCAAATCAGCACATAGGGTTCGTCAATCGCCATAACCACTGCCGCACAAGAAACTGTGGGGACAAGCCTACGTGTAAACTTCACACCGAACCAATCACTGCGCCCAATCCGAGGATCGGATGCCTGCCAGGCTCGACCGGTTTGTGGGAGAGGGATGAGCTATTGAGGTCCAAGCCGGTAAACTCCTTCTCACGACACAGTAGCGCATTCTTCACTATAGTGCGCTTGGATCTATCAAAACGCGCAAAAAAACTGTCACTTGGAAGACGGCCACTTGATGCGTTAACTTGGTCCACCCGAAAACTTAGGCTAAGGCACAATGACTCCATTTTAATGTGGTCTTTATTGCACGCTCGCGCATATGAGATACGAACCGCCCGTTTTCGTGGAAAGCCGGCGCACTGTGCAGGGACCAGGTCGTGTGTGGCACACACACATAAACGGACTGCGCTCGAGTCCGCCCCCCATCGTCCTTGACCTTGACTTTCCATCGGAGTGCGGCAGGTGCTGTGCAAGTCGGCCATCGCTATAAACGAATTCACATGCAATTTGCTGGTCCGCGCCTACCACGTCCTGGGGCACTCGGGGGCATCGTAATTAGCGATAGTCGATAGTTGACCCGTATCTGCTTTTTGTCTCTGATGATGATGGGTTTGAGCAGTAATCCGAAACGTCAGACTAGTAAAGTTCTTGTCCCAGTGATCGTGTCTCCTCCTTCAAGATAGTCAAACTGTCAGTCTCACGGTGCGCTGACCGTGTTCGCCCTTGGCTGGAAACTGGGTCGCGCCATCTGCCCCTATGAGCGTAACGCGTGATAGCAGTGGTTATTGTAACCTGGTGTTTCCGCAACTTGTGTCATGACATCAGGTCTCCAGCAGCTTCCGCCTCATTTACTGCTATTACTGTTGCTTTTCGTACTTTCGAAATGTTCCATCATAGTTAAGTGGGACGTTTACTCACATTTTTAACTGAAGAATATCATTAATTTCTACCTGGATAACTGGGAAGATTTAATTATACTGCTGACTGAGAAGGTCCCATGATGTTTTTTTCGAATTGGACCCCCGGTAGAAACATATTGATTGGGTATGCACGTGTTTACACGTCTTCTTTCGTTAAACTTCCGCAAAGGCTCAGATGGTATTTTCGTTTCTCTATTTCCTACAAAATGAACATATATTTATACGCGCAGAATGCTATTATAATGGTTAATCTTCAAAATGTATCGTAAGAGTGCCCATTTATGACCTTTCGGTCGAATGAACGATGGCTATGCCGTAAATGAATTATCATAGAAAACAGGAAAAGTGTCTGAGTTTGCTGTGCAAGTTTATCGAACATTCTGTCGATCGCTTAGAGTGTACATCTCCTCTTTCGGTCAATAAATAAGGCTTTTATATTTATTTTGATTCGGAATTTAGAAGAAAATGATATGATATAAGGTTGCACTGGCCATGGAAAATAAACGTGATCACCAGTCCTGAGTACAGCGTCATCTCATCACTTTGTAACTGTCTAATCGCAACTTTTATCGTACTGAGAACGTTCACGTATGTTTCAAATTTACCATACTGAGGAAAGTTCACGTATACTCACCGTGTATTTGAGGGGTATAGAGGTCCTAAGTATGTTAAGATGATGATGCGTGTATCTAGACTGGGATTATCCGCTGTCACTTAGTTTAATTCGGTCCATTGCATCTCAAAAAGGGAGGACTGTATCCTGGGCCACAAATTCAAGCCCCCCTCCCGGTTTATCTAGGTCTATTGATGAAGATTTGAGTAATATGTGTTTATGTAGCTGCACCTGATAGACATAATGATGTTAATGGTAGGGGGCGCTCACCGATAGTTCATACGGAACTCACTCGTTCCGTTGTGTCTTAAGGACTCCCTCTCGAGCCCAACCAGCAGTCGCACAGCGGCGCATGATATATATTGGCAGAATGGCATTACCGACAAAGACAAGGGAGACTGGAATGGCCATTTCTCGCTTATTAGCCGTCATCAGCCAGTCATACCCAAGCCCGAAATGTGGAACACTCGAGCCTCGAATTCGCGACCTGTTAGTTAGAAGTCCACGTCTCCAACCACTGCGCCACGAGCCCGTTGCTCTGTCGGTTTTTTCGATCAGGAATATACAATGGTAAGGCAACGGGCTCGTGGCGCAGTGGTTGGAGACGTGGACTTCTAACTAACAGGTCGCAAGTTCGAGGCTGACGACGGCTAATAAGCCAGAAATGGCCATTCCAGTCTACCTTTTCTTTGTCGGCAATGCCATTCTGCCTATACAATGCTGTTAACCCACCTAATTATTTTGAGTTGGTGTGATTACGTTAGCATGGTATTGCTGTGCGTTGCAATGTGTGTTCTGTTGGCGACCTTGTTCCTTTGTTAACGTGTCTACCTTTTTTGTTCCAATGCTGGTGGTCCTTCTTGACCTTCGACCTGTCCCCTCCTAACTTTCGCGTTGGATGTTCCAGGTTTAGGTGTTGGGATTAAGGTTAGAGGTCGGGGTTAGGGTAACTATTTCTCAACTACTCAAAGTACAACTGCGCATTCCCAGTAGCTTTTCTTTTGCATGCGACTACTTGACTTCGTCGCCTGTGCGTTCCACGGCACCACCTGTAAAGACCCTCATCACTACCGGTTCCTTATTACGGGTGGCTAAGGTTTGTTTACCTTGCGTGCGGCTACATAACCACATCTGACCAAGACTTCAAAGGTTACTCGGTTGCTATTTTCAGGCAGTAAAACCACTCTGCAGTCTGTTGTTAAGCACTGTTTTTATGTGGTTTTAGCCCGGAACTTCTGACACAGCCGAGCGAAGAAACCCAACTACATTTAACACACTTGTCCTCGCGTGATTGGGCAATTGACATGGCGGTAAGAAATCTACGACACCCCGGTCCTGGGAAACTTTTCATGCATCTGGCATACTTTGAATGTTGCAAGATAGCCCACTTCGGTGCAGCGCCTGTGATTCCCCCTTGGCAGGTAAGGGGACAGAAATAGTGATGAAACTGCGTTTCGAAAACCACAGTCAAATACCGCGAACTTATTTCAGGCACCTGGGCAGTTTACGCAGGACCGTTAGGCGTGATGGTAGTGCTTAAAGCACGCAACTGTCAAACGAACCCAAACTCCCCCTGGCAATCGTGAGTAAACACCCCGTAAAGCAAGACAGTGGGATACCGAGTAAGAACAACAACGATAACACCCAGCCTCTCCCCTCGTCTGTGTTCTGCTGACACACAGCGGGCACTCGCACCGACGGCAAAAGGCAACAACGTTGACTCCGCATCCAATAACCTTGTCAGCACTGTCCGATCACTTGCGCCTGTCCAAATGTTCCTGACGAACACCCTGACAGTCCGATCGGCGCATGGCACGGCGTTTATCGGCTCGGAGTGGGCCCGGCACCGGTAACTTGCGCGTTGATTGGCTTTGAACGAGGCAGCATCTACAACGCTCTTCCCCCGCCCACGTTGCTCCAGTGGCGAGACAA